GAAGCCTGCTTCTCCCTCTCCCACTCCCCCTGCTTGTGTTCCCTCTCTCGCTGTGTCTCTCTCTGTCAAATAAATAAAATCTTAAAAAAAAAATCCCATTGCCAGTCAGATCTCCCCTAAGGCATTAGTCTCTGAGAGCCAAGACTATCTTAGGCACTGTTATTTCTCATTGCCTACTTAGCACAGCACCTGGTACATGGTTAACCCTGAGATTTTTGTTGAGGGTATTCATTGGTGGGCACTGGGGATATGACTGTAAATTAGACCAACTTGGTCTCCTTTTTCTTCCGTGAACCTTAAATTATGTTTCGCAAGAGGTGTTTTTTGTGTCTTTGTATTGAGAACTTCAAGATCAGTGCTAAGCAGCGCAGATAATTATAAACCATTTTACTGATGTATGATCCCATATCATAATGCTACCCCTTCAGATACACCTCCATGGTAGGCAGGGTTAACATGGAGAACTAGGAAGGCCTCGGTGGGAAGGAGAATAAGGTTTTCACAGAGAACCAATCTCCCTCCCTTTGGAGGTGATCTGAAAGAGAGAAAGTAAGCAGGAGATCTCTCTGTAACCTTAACCACATTTGTTAAGCTGATAACTTTGATTTCAAGGTTCTGCTAAAATTATTTTTAGCTATAGTAGAGATAGTTGAAAGGACAGGCTTATTATTTGTCCATTAGTCATTGGTTATCACATCTGATAGGATTATAGATATTAAAATATTTCCCAGGAGTGCGGCTTTCTTCCATATCCTTGAGTGGAATTTGCGATTGACAATGATTTCATAGCACTGTAGCTGACTTAAGTGATCCTTGGTGCAGGAAGTCTGCTCTTCCTCCTGTAGTGACAAAAGCATTCTGATCATAATTTCTTATTAAAGTGATCAGAGATCGCCTCAGATCCAAAAGTGTACTTTATAAGTGCTTGTTGTTATCTTGCTGTGCATTGCAAAAGAATTCTGGAGGTCTGCCAAACACCACTCACTCAGCAATAAGCATTTTCCATTAGTTGAATAGTGTTGAAGCTCACTTCCTTACCCTGATCTTAAATTATTTTGTAGCTTAAAATCATTTTATTACTTTTCTTTTTAAAAGAGATTTACCAGAAATTGAGAGCATCAGCAACTGAATGGGTGGTTGTACCTATATTAGGAAGCATAAATGAGGACTTAATAAATGAGGAACAGTTAATCTGATTTATTAAACCTATGAACAGCAAAGAAAGAATAAATAGGTACTGTATGCCCATGTCGTGTTTTTGTTGTTGTTGTTGTTGTTGTTTTAAGACCCTTTGCCCAGCATCATTCTGAACTGATGAGTTTGAGTTCAGGAGTTCATAACTTAATATGATGAAAGTAAACATAGAATTACAGTTTGGGAAGGATTCCTTTAGGTGCTCTAGTTACTAGAAGGGAAACTTGTAAGCTGGAATATCCAACTTGCTAGGCAAATTTCTCTTAGCTCTGAAGGGCTTGCAGGCTTTCGAAGAACCTGTTCGAGAAGTACTGCAATTCTTAGCGAGGATAACTTGCCTAGAGTCTCACAGCCAGTAAATTGGACTGACTTGATTTGAATTCTAGCTTTTCAGTGCCAGGGATGGGGCTCTTAATCGCCTCATTATATTGCCTCTTAGATCATTGTTTTTTATTGGTTTTGTTTTACCACTGCTATTATGTTCCTCCCCCACCCCCCTTTTGTTTGCAAATGTATATATATATATATTTAAAGATTTTATTTATTTATTTGACAGAGAGAGAGAGGGAACAGAAGCAGGGGGAGTGGGAGAGGGAGAAGCAGGCCCGAGCAGGAAGCCCGATGCGGGGCTCGATCCCAGGACCCTGGGATCATGACCTGAGCCGAAGGCAAACGCTTAACGACTGAGCCACCCAGGCGCCCCTGCAAATGTGTATTTTTTCTACTACGCTTCGGGTCAGATAGACTTGTAAAAACCTAGCCACTTTT